TTAAAGCGTTTCGAGCTGAACTAGAAAACTAGCTGACGGCTTTGTTGAAAGTTTTAAAGTTGAAATTTCACTCACTGTAAAATTTATTTGCTAAAGTATCATAAAGCCGGTTAGCTGTTGAAAGCTCTTGCTTAACTTTTAAACTTTAATAATACAAGCATTGAAAGTTAGCCCATACCCAGCAGAAAAGCAACTTGAAATCTAATTAAAATCTTTTCCGCCCACAATTTTCTGCCTTGCAGACTGCATTGTATTTTTAATGGGAAAATCCAGCCACTCAATTTCTGTATTAATTTGAAGAATGACGCTCGATTTCGTTTTATTTATAAGAGCAAAATTCGCGCGACTAATTTTGATCTCTGATTCATATTAAATTTATTATTAACATTGTAAGGGAAATTCGGCGAGTCTTTTGGGATTAAGAAAGCAAACGCAAATGGATTGACAAACTAATCTAAAGTAAAGCACCGGCCCGGTAAAAGGTAAATATACTTCAGTGCTTTAAGCCCAAAGGGAGAATTTAAGACTTAACAATGCACGTCTCTGCTTCAAATAACCACCTACAGAAATGTGAGACGCACTCGTCATATCCTATCCCTATTTGCATTGTGCTTTTTATGTTTCAGATATAAACGTTTATTATTCTTGGGAGCAGTAAAGAATTGATGTCGCTTTCATGAAACTACCCTTTTGTGTTTAACGTGTTTTTACTACTACAGAACGTGTTAATTAATTTATCAAGCAAGCAATCTACATCGCAGATTGCAAAATACGTACCGGTAATTGTTATCCAAAATTACAAATCCAGTATATATTTCCGAGTCATAGCATAATAGTTACTTAGAAAAAAAGTTAAAAGGTAGGTAGATAGGAAAACAGGTTCTTCGTTATTTAAAGAAAGTCTAACAAAAAACCCTACGCATTTTAATGAGAAGACAATACAACACTTTTATAATTCTCACTCCTTACTTTATTGTGTAACTAATACAAACAGAAATCGAAACGTAATACAGGTGCTCATGACCATCATAAAGGTAAATTTTGAGGAAACCTTCCTCAAAGGTGCAATCTAAAGTTATGACATTTGAAGATAGAATTTACATGACATGTATTTTTCAGGAAATAGTGAATCAACAACCTTTTGTGCAATGCCAGCATCGGAATCATTCGTAATTCACGTTTCTTACGTAAAGTATAAAAAATTGTGGCCCAAAATTAGAGCCAAAATATCAAAGTTTTCAAACTGACAAACCTGTAACGACCACCGACTACAATAAATCTAAATATATTCAAATGAAATCAATTGGCACCGTCCTAGGGCACGTGTCCTATGAATTTTGTTAATGATACGTATGTAACTATACCACCTTTTAATTTCAACATGTTGTTCACATGAAACTAATATCATTATACTACTATTGATAATATGAGAGTCTCCACAACCACTACTGATCCAATAATTCTTTGGATTTGGCGAAGTCAGTATATTCGTTGTGTACCATCAGCAGAACCACCTACATTACTGAAATTCTATCGACCTAAAAGAAAATCAATTCTAATCAACTCCTAGAAATGAGATGAAACTCAATTAGAAAGTTACGTCGCTAATGATACCGATGAAAATTTTAAATCGATTTCAAATTAATCGCAAAACGTGACGAATTTTACAGAAGGTAACATTTTAATCTAATATCCTCCAGAATTGGAACCGAGGTCTACACTCACCAGCCCTTAGCTAACCCAAATTGACTTCCACTTCAAGATAATCTCACTAATTTGCTAGCGATTGACATTTTTCGGTATTTTTCCTTTGAGAGTTTCGCGACATGTCGTAGATTTAATAGGTATCGACTTTTATTTTCTGTTAGAATTTTGTGAATTGAATAGATCTGTCAGTGTACCGACTAACAAACGGTAATCAGCTCGTAACCGTGAATTACCTCCACAATGCCGTTAATTTTTCAAACCCGCCATTGTTAATTCATTAGAGCTTCTATTTGAAGTCTGCTGGTATGATGCAAGATAAATGTAATTCCGCATTACTTCTCTTGAAAATGGCGTTGGTGGATTTAACTCTTCATGAGATAAAAATACACTGCTAACGAAAACGAGCTTAATGCGTTTCGAATTAAACATTTATTAAATCCATTAAATCCCCCAAGGCGTACGAATTGCCGTTGTATAAAACTCCTAATGAGCTTATTTGGAAAATATAATTATAACCAAATCGGCTCTATGGAATAAAATGAAATATTTATAAGCGATAAATTTGTGCATTTTGAAGTCTACATTTTGAAATTAAATTGAAGGTGTATGTACACGGCTTGTAAAACCATGTTAATATCGAAGACTTGTTAGTTATATCGCCTTCGTCAAATAATAGTTTTCTCATTTGGTATACTATCTTGATAAACATGGAACGGTACGTCATTTACGTTTAACATTCATTTTTATATTCAATTCTCATTTATAGTAACAACTTCGGCTCGTTTTCTTACTGGGTTATGAAAATGGTAGTGGAAAATGTACGTTGTTATATCTTTTCGGCCATTTAAAATCATAATATAAATCAATGAAAGTGTTCTAAACCATACCAAAATACAAAGTAGTCATATAGGTATGAATACAACTTCAGATGACAGGTTCCAGATCAGGTGTCACTAGAAGAGCTGCCTCAACAATTGGCGTAAGCTACTATCAAGCAACATGCTTTGTAGGAAGCAACACGGCAAGATGGATCTCATTCATAAATATAGAAGGGGCATTTGACAAAACAGTCTTAGAAACAATAGAAATTGCATTACGCTATCATGACAATCCTTGCTCATCAACCCTATAAAAGCGGAGGTAGTTCTCTTCATAAGAAAACGGAAGGTAGGGGGTTTCGAGCTCTCCTGCTATTTCAAAATCAACTCCAATTTTCAGAGTCGGTAAAATATCTAGACATCACACTTGATAATGAACTTAATTTTGGAGCAAATAGGGCTCTCGGTAATGTCGCCGCGCAATTCGCAGACTTTGGGGACCATCTCCGTAGTGTCCAATGGCAGTACACTACCGTAATTAGACCAATGTTCTATTATGGAACAATTGTCGGGTGACCTAGAACCAGACCCTCCACAATCCTAGTACTTCTTAATCATGGGGGAAGATAGCGCCCCTTGCTTCCACGGGCACAATGCGAACAACCCCCACAGCCGCCATGGAAGCCCTTCTGGGTCTGCCTCCACAAGATCTCTACGTGAGGGAGCAGGCCATAGTGGTGTCCTTGCGTCTGAAAACTAAGGGGTTGTTGAATAGCAGAGGTAATGAGGTGGGGCACTACCGTGCTCTGAACGAGGGAATTCGGCGATTTCCTATTCTAGAAAGGCGGTCTGGCTCACTTGCCCTTCAATTCGTACTAGGGAAAAACTACCACATCTTTTTTGGCATGTACCCCAAAGAACTGAACTTCCACGATCCACGTTGTTTTGTATAGGAATTGCTAAATGTGTTGTTTAAATGGATCGTCTTATAATCGGTTTATTTTGATTTGCATATTTAAAAGTAAAAGTGAAATTACGCGTTAAAAGGTAGGTACATCTGGTTGTAATTGCGCGTGTTTGTATTAATTAAAAGGTTTATCTGGCCCTTGCAATAAAAACATTTGTTATTGCGTTTATTAGTTTCAAGATACTAGTTTTCGCCAATAAGAAAACAACAGGTGTGCAGTTTATTTCGAAGCTGGCGTTTAGCATATTTGGTTTTGATTGGCTGTTTGTTTACGAAATTTTAAAGGAGATTTTTAAGGTGGTGATTCAACAGTATTAGTGCACGCTGTTTTTTGGGTGTTTGGGCAGTCACCTGTTGTAATGGGGAGAAATTAATATCTAACCTGTAATCAGTCACATTATTGGCATCAATATGATGATTAACCATTTCACTAGATATCAGTATCGATCCATAAGTTCCTTTAAAATCTTAACGAGAGGGAAGTTATGATGTTCATTGCCGTTCCAATATTGAACTCACAAAACTCGAGCCACATCCGGTCGGCAGTTCTCGTTTTTATCTTATAACTCGAGGAGCTATATAACAACGCGTCGCTTACTGAGAAAGTAGCATTCCTGTTCGCATACTGTAGCCGTCTAATCCGCACAAGATTTAATTTTGTCCAAAAGAGGGGTTAGCAGGTCCCCTGAAGGTAAGATTTGATGTCTTCAGCATACGAACACCGGTAGAAAGCATTTTCAGTTGATGAAGAAATGAAAAGGTACATTTTTTTTCCTTTTCAGATTGCCGCGTTCTTTAGCCACTGCGCAGTTATTAATTTTGCATAGTAGTTTTTACGTAACTATTATTTTAAATCACTCTGTTGGAACGCCAAGGCCGTTAAGCTACGAAGGACTAATGTAGTGCATACGTGTTTTCTTTAAAGTTGTCTCATAATTGTTTATTCCCTTGATTTTTATATTAATTTACTATTTAGCGACACAGCTTCCCTTCCAACTAATAACTGAATTGAATTTAATAGTAGGGGAAAGGGGGGCACATGTGGACAGGGGGTGCATGTGGACAGTTTGAATTCAGCGCTTTATAAGGCATGAATAAATTCAAAAAATTCTCATAGATGTCTCTGATTATACCTAATTTGTGAATAAAGTTTGAACATTTAACAGCTGATAGTGTTTGTGTTATGGTTGAAAGCACGTTTGAATGGTGACAAAGTAAACTTATTAGAGGAATATAATCGGTGATCATCAAGTAAGTATGTATAATACTGCTAATAACTTATGTTTACAAACCTTAACTAGGGGTTATTACTACCACAATATTTTACCTGTGAAAATCACCCTTGTGTTTAAAACAATTTTTCATCTACAAATTGTAACCGAGGCACATGTGGACATGCAGATACGGGGTAGATGTGGACTGTCCACATCTACCCCACAGTCCACATTTACTCCACACCGTGTCCTAAAGTCTATGTTTCAATACCCACAAATTTTCTTTTTTACAGTATGGTAAGGACTTATAAGCGCAAAACATCGAGAGATGATATTGATGAAACTATTGTCGCAAGAGCCCTTACAGAAATTAGTAATGGCAGAATGTCATTGCGTACAGCAGCATCGGAATTTGGCTTAAAGAAATCAATGTTGCACAAACGTTTCAAAAAGCAACGGAACACAACGGAAGATTCCGGTGCAGAATCTGATACTGTAGACCAAGGCAAGTCAAAATATGCTAGCAATCAAGTATTTTCAGCAGAAGAAGAAAATATGTTGAATAGTTATCTTCTTAAAAGTTCATCAATTCACTATGGTTTGACTTTGCGTCAAACAAGAACACTAGCTTACGAGTATGCCCTTAAACTAAATAAAAAATTTCCCAATAAATGGAATGTAGAAAAACAGGCGGGGATTGACTGGATGAAATCATTCTTAAAGAGACACAAAAACATTTCTTTAAGAAAACCTGAAAACACTAGCCTCGCTCGTGCAACTTCCTTCAATCCAGCAAACGTTAATGCATTTTTTTGTAATCATAAGAGCGTATTAGAAAAATTCAAATTTGAACCAAACCGTATACTAAATTTGGATGAAACTGGCATAACTACTGTCCTACCCTCTCCAAAGGTTCTCACTGAGAAAGGCAAGAAACAAGTAGGTCAGATAGTATCTTCTGAACGTGGCCAGCTTGTTACCTTTGTAGGAATTATAACAGCAACAGGAAATGCACTACCTCCAATTTATGTATTTCCCAGGGTCCATGCAAAAGACCACTTTGTGAATGGCGGACCTATTGGAGCTGTTGGTTTGGCTCATAAAAGCGGCTGGATGACTGCAGAGTTATTTATGAATGTACTGAAGCATATTGTGCACCATCTATCACCGTCGAAGGAAAACCCCATTTTATTACTCATCGATAACCACAAATCACATATATCTCTGCCAGCTTTGTGTTTTTGTAAAGAGAATGGTATTGTTGTCCCGCGTTCCCACCGCATTGCTCCCACAGGCTTCAACCACTAGATGTTGGAGTCTATGGGCCTTTTAAGGCAATTTTAAAATCCACCTTCAATAACCACATGGCTACACATCCCGGGAAGCAAATTACAATATATGACATTCCACAATTGTCTAAGCAACCATTCTTGCTAAGCTTCATCCCAAAGAACATTACAAAAGCTTTTGAAGCTACTGGTTTGTGGCCACTAAATGAACTTGTGTTCACCGAGGCAGACTTTCAGAGTTCATATGTTTCTGATAGGCCAGTAACTGATTCAGTTGTAAATAGTAATTTAAGCAACACAGGCACTACAGGTCAAAATGCCACTAGGCCAGAAAATAAATCTGTTCTTGATGAACGTGATACTACACCTCCAGGACCCTCTGGAATTGTGACCCCTGAAGTCCTCAGACCATACCCGAAAGCTGCGCCAAGACGAAATGTCCAAAGAAGGACAGGCAAATCATGTATATATACAAGTACGCCAGAAATGGATGCTATTAAGAACAAAGAACAAGAAAGACAAATTCCAAAGGAAAAGAAACGAAATGTGAAACGGGTTATTTTTGAAAGTTCGCCAGATAAAGAGCACATGGATGCAGAGGATTCTTCAGAAGAAGGTGGCTCTTTTTCTGATGAGGGATTTGACGGAAACGATTTTGCGGAAGAACATTCGATTTTGGACAGCGATGTGATTTCTACGGATGACTTTGTGCTTGTTAAATTTGCCACAAAGAAGACTTTTATATATTATGTTGCCCTTGTACAAAAATTGTTTGAAGGTGGTGTGGAGTGTGAAGTTAAATATCTACGACGCAAATTACCTGGATGGAGTTTTCACTTTCCTGTCATTAGTGACATAGCTACTGTTATAAGAGACGATATTGTGCTCAAGTTACCTAAGCCAGTGAATCATAAAGGGACAGCAAGAACCTCTGACTACTTTAAATTCGGTGTAGACCTCACGAAGTATAATGTAAATTAACTCTAAATTTAGATATTCTGCAGAAAATTTCGACATAACTTACTTAGATTTTCATTTTGTAACAAGTGTCCACATGGACCCCTTCCACTGTCCAAATGCACCCTCTAATGGGGTACAAGTGGACAAACACATTTTTTTTTCTTTAAAGGCATTATGCACATTTTGTTTATATTTTAAGCATTCATGTACTTAGTATGCATTTCACAATATCCGCCCGATGTTACTACTGTAAAGAAAATGTAAAATTGATGGAAAATTAAAAAAATATTGAATTTTGAAAAAAGCTGTCCACATGCACCCCCCTCTCCCCT